GTTCATCTCTCCACATATGTCTAGAAAATAGTATATAAATCTCCGTATCTATAACATCCACGTGGACAAATCGTTGGAAAAAGCATAGAATATTCCCGAAAAAACATTTAAATATTATAAGAAAAATCACATTGTACGTTAGATTACAAATCAGACATATTTAACTTAAACTTAAACAAAATCAAATTGTCTAAAAAATATTGTATGAAAAAAAGTTTAATTGTTTAATGATATAGTTGATCGATCTTTAAGGACTATTAATTACCATGGACTCTGTTGGACGTGCACGTGGACGTGGCCGAGCTAATTTATTTAATTTAAGTTAGTTCGTTCTTTAAATATTTTTTCCATATACTTATATTTATATTCTGATTAGCTGGTCAATCAGATACTTCACCTCGGCCAGGTGCATTTGCTAATGCTGCTGCAGCTGCATCATCATTTTCCGGGACTAGTTCAGCTTCATCAAGTTTGCTGCTTTTTTTCTTTAGGAAATTTTTACCCAAAAAATGATTTCCTATTCTTATCTAGTTCAGGCATCATCAACTCCTACAGAAAAGCAACCATCAACATCAATAGGCACTACTTTTGAAGTAAACTTTTATAATATTCTTATTCATACTTATATATATATATAAATATAATAACTTAGCCAATATCTTCAACAACAAAATCAACAGTTGATAAACCTCGTCGTGGTAATGCACCTGTTATAATGACAGCACCACGAGGCAAAGGTGTTGAACATCTTGTATCCGATTTTGCAACTCTATCAACAGCTGAACGTCAAACAGGTTCTGGACGAGGAACACCTTGGTCATATTCAGCTTTACCAAAAACTAAACCTACACATATTGATGATAAACGAGGTACATACTAATACAACAAACGATCATTTTCTCCTAAATCTATACTTCCTTTTTTCTTATCTAGGTGTCAGTGGTGATCCAATTAGTATTGTTGCTAATTATATTCGTATTTTATCTAAACCATCATGGCAACTTTATCAATATCATATTGGTAAATAATTTGTCTTTAAAAAAGTTTTTTTTTTGTCTCATATTTTTCTTTTAGATTTTAATCCCGAAGAAATGGTCATACAACGAAAAATGCGTCGAGAAATGGTCTAAAATTTTTTTAGTCAACTTATTTATTGATTAAAACATCTATCTATTATCTAGGTTCTTCAACATAAAAATGTTCTAAAAGATGTAGCTTTTGATGGAACAACTCTTTATTCATTTGAATATATTGGCGATGTATAAAATGAAAATTTTCGTTTCTTTATGACTTTTTTTTTCGAATTATAGGAACGTACATTTCAATGTCAACATACAGTTACAGGCGATCCAATTGAAATGCGTCTTCGTTTAACAGCTAAAAATTCACCCGATTCACCAAATTTTTTTCATCTTGTATGTAGAATTTTTATATTATCAATACCTTTAATAATCTAACATTTGTTTTTATAGGCAAATTTAATTGTTCGAAAGTAAAGATTTTTAGAGAGTTTTTTTTTTTAAATTGAAATATTTAATTTTAATCATTTAGATTATTAGAATTATCTGGTTTAAGACTTATTGGTCGAAATTATTATCAATTCGATCGTAAAGTTGATTTAGAACGTTATCGTTTAACACTTTTTCCAGGTTTCTTAACCAATGTTAACATTTATGAAGGTTCATTAATGATTAATGTTGATTTATCACATAAGGTGTTTTGTTTATTTCTTATTTAATATTTATCTTATCGATTGATTTATTCTAGGTATTAAATAAAACAACTGTATTCAATCGTCTTCAAGATATATTCACACAATTTGTTGAGTTAGTACAAAACGAAAATGATAAAAATTCGAAAAAAAGTTCTTTTATTCTAGTTTTAAACGTGCTCAAGATGAAGCTACAAAAGAACTTGTTGGACAAGTAAAATTCATATAATTCTTTTTCAAGTTTCTTCTTATTATAAATCTAGATCGTATTAACAACATACAATTCCAAAACATATAAGATCGATGAAATTGCATGGGGTATATGAATAGATTTGTTTATTAGTAAATAAAAAATAATCTTCTTTTAGATAAATCACCAAATTATGCATTCAAAAAACGTGATGGTACAGACGAAACATTAGTTAAATATTATTATGATGTAAGTTAACTCGAACATTGCAGGATACAATGAAGTATTGAGATAGATAACTTGTTCCTTTTCGAAATGAATCTTTTGTTCATTGACTGTTTATTTATTTGTACATATATCTAGCGCTATCAATTAAAAATTGAAGATACAACTCAGCCATTACTTATAAGTAAACCATCAAAAAAAGATCGACGTGCTGGACAAACCGGTCCACTTATGCTTATTCCGGAATTATGCTGTGTAACAGGTAAATTTTAGTGAAATCAATTATGTTATTAATATCCTTGAATTTCAACTAGGTATTTCTGATGTAATGCGATCAGATTTTCAATTTATGAAAGAATTAGCACATCATACTCATATTGGTCCAATGGCTCGTTTTGAAAAATTAACAGAATTTTGTCATGATGTTCAAAAGTGATGTAGTTAATTAATTATTATATATATTCAATTTTAATTTTAGTAATCAAGAAGCGAAAGATGAATTAAAAAAATGGGAAGTTAGTTTAGATACAGGTTTAGTTGAATTTGATGGTCGTCTTCTTGAATCTGAACAAATTCTTTATGCAAATCGTTCAATTCGTTATAAACATGATGAAGCTGATTGGAGTCGAGAAGGTTTATTCAACAAATAAAACTCTATTTGTTAATATTTTTGTGTTTCAGGTCGTAGTTTAAAACATATAGCATGTAAAAATCTCAAGAATTGGATTGTTTTTTATCCATCATCATTACGTGAACTCGGTGATGAACTTATAAATGCACTTTATCAAGTATGTGTACCATTTGGAATGGAAGTTGAATATCCAAATGTGTAAGTTACTTCTAATAATTATTTTTTTTACATTTATTCTTATTTAATAGTATTCAATTACCAAATGATCGTCCTGAAACTTATTTGAGTATTTTACCGGAAAAAATTCAAAAAAATACAGATCTTGTTCTTTGCATATTACCAAATAATCGTAAAGATCGATATGATGCTCTGAAAAAATATATGTGTCTGGATAATCCAGTACCTTCTCAAGTACAAAATTTGCTTCTTTTTTTCTTATAGTTTTAATTTTGATTTTTCATTAGATGGTTTTAGCAAAAACAATATCGAAAAAAAATCAACTGATGTCAGTTGCTACCAAAATTGGTATTCAATTGAATGCAAAACTTGGTGGAGAAATTTGGGGTGTAACAATTCCGGTAAATGAAAAATTCTGTTTTCGAATAAAAGACATTGATTTATTTTAGTCAAAAACATTAATGGTTATTGGTATGGATTCATATCATGATTCCAAACGAAAAGGTTTCTCTATTATTTAATAGTTCTTTTTGTGTAATATGTTGAAATTTTAGGTGCTAGTGTTGGTGCATTTGTTGCTTCAACAAATGTAACATGTACTCGTTTTTATTCACGAGTTATTTATAATCGTACAGCTCAAGAATTAATGGATGGTTTACAACAATGCATGAGAGGTGAAATTAATTTAGATTATGAAATAATAATAGAGAATTTGTTTTATTTAGATTCACTTAAAGAATATCATCGAGTAAATAATGCATTACCCGAAAAAAGTATGTTTGAAAGCAATTATGATTTTTAAGGAAACTCGTGTCTTTGTTTAGTTGTACTTTATCGAGATGGTGTTTCGGATGGTCAATTAGCTATTGTAGCTGAACATGAATTACCACAAATTATTGATACATTTCCAAAAATTATGCCTGGATATCAGTATGTTTTCTAATTTGAAATCAAATTCAATCTATTTCAATAACTATTTTAGACCAAAACTCGCAGTAATTATTGTTAAAAAGAAAGGTAATGCTCGATTTTTTGCTAAAATGGGTAGTACATCAATGGTTAATCCACCACCGGGTACAATTATTGATCATACTGTTACTAATGGTAAGACATATATCATCTTTTGAATAAAATTAAAAATTTGAATTATTTTTTAAGCTGAATGGTATGACTTTTATTTAATTTCTCAATGTGCTCGACAAGGAACAGTAGCACCAACACATTATAATGTCATATGGGATCGGACAAAGTAAACTTTTATTTAAACTTAATTGTTTTTCTTATATTCACAATTGATTTCTAGTTTTAAAGTCGATCATATGCAACGTCTTACTTTCAAACTTACTCATTTATATTATAAGTTAGTTGAATAAAATACTTTGTAATTCAAATTCTATCATATTTATATATTTTATTTCAGTTGGCCAGGAACAATTCGTGTACCAGCTGTTTGTCAATATGCTCATAAATTAGCTTTTCTCGTTGGTCAAAGTTTACATCAGGATTTCAATCCAGAACTTGCTGATCGTCTTTTCTATCTTTAATTGTTTTTTTCCTTTCTATGAATATGTGCGTTGTATGCCACTTTTCTATTAGCTTTTTGTTTCTGTACTAGTTTTATGATACAGGTTAATTTTTTTTTGGGTATTTTTTTGTCTTTCGTAACCTCGTTCTATTGAACATTGTTTTTCTTTCAGAATATTTTTTTTTCTGTTTTCAACAAATATGAAACTTTGTATTTTTATATCTATATATAGTCTTTTTGTGATAGTTTTTCTAGTATATAAGCGTTCTATTTTCTTTTTCTTTTTTGAACAACTTTCTTTGTGAATATATTCACCGCGATATGTACATTAGTCGTACACGTGGTTGATGATCAGGATAATTGATTTAGTTATGCAATGAACATTTATTACACGAAATAGTTTAGTCAGAATATACTTATTATAGACTAGGTATGTCTTAATAGATCTTTATTTCATTTTTACTAAAAGAAAAGAATTACTACGAATGGTTAATCGTTATTAAATAAAAAATTTTACATTAAAAATGAATTAGTCCTAAATTTATTTTGTCATCCCGAGATGAAACATTTTACGAAGTGTGCCTGGACCATTCCATGTACCTCTATAAGAAAAATTATGAAATAAAATGTATAAGATAATAAACTCTTACTTGATTAACATATTCCAATACATCGATGGCATAACATCTTTTTTTAATATATACGAAAGACGAAGTTCTTTTCCTTGATCAATTGGTAATGTTTCTAATGGTTGTCCATTGAAATCAAATTCTGCTAAAATACATTTACCAAAACCTGTTACAAGTGGACAACTTGTATATCCGTCATACTATGATGAATAATGTAAATTATTATATTTGTTAAAATAAAAGAAAATATACTTTTGGAACGCTATCAGATTTTCCATCCATAAGATTAATTAAATTTCTAACAAGAATAGAATTTGATCCCGCTATGGCAGCAGCTGTTTTACTAGTTGGAAGATTTGTACAATCACCAATAGCAAAAATATTAGGAAATTTCTTATGCTGTAATGTTTCTTTAACAACATCAACAAAACCATTTGCATCAGCTAATGGTGATTTTGCTAAAAATTCATAAGGTGCCATTGGTGCACCAATATGTAATAAATCATACTAGAATTTATAAATATTAATAAAGCGAACTGCGAATTTTTGTCTTACTTTAAATGTTTTCATTGTACCTGGTTGATCAAGATTTTCAAAAATAGCTTCTTTTGAATCAGCACGTACTTCAACAAGATTTAATCTTGTATTTAATTGAATATTTCTATAAAATAATCTATTTAATTAGACTATTAAATTTTAATTATAGTATACCTTGCTTTGACAACTTCCATTAGAGCAGCAGCATATTTTTTAACACCAAATATAACTGGTAATGCTGTATTATATATAACAGTAGTTTTATCACGAATATTATTCTAAATTATAAAATGAAAAAACAAACTTTTTCTTTTTATATTTTTACTCTTCGAAATAAATCTTCCGCAAGATACATTATTTTCTGTGGTGCACCAGGACATTTAATCGGTGTACCAGGAAATGTAAATATTGCTTCGCCACCACGAAAATTATTAAGTGTATTATAAACATTACGAACATATTTTCTCGAATAAATACTAACTACATGTTTTGGATCATTATCTAATGCATCAATAGCTCCTTTTATTTTATCATAACGTGTTTGAATACCAGCAGCAACAATGAGATAATCATATGTAATCTATTTATAAAAATACAAAATCTTGATTTTTCGAGATAAATTTTCGTTACTTGTTTTCCATCATCTAATTCTACGAGATTTTTTTCTGGTTGAATTTGACTGGCATTTGATTGAATCCAAGTTGTATTAGTTGGAATACATTGTGATTGTGATTTTTCAAGTTCATCAGGTGTTTTTAATCCAGCACCAGCTAATGTCCAACCTGGTTGATAAATATGTGTCTAGAAATGAATGAAAATTATCAAGGACAAATTTATATTCTCATGGACATATACATCATTTTTATCAATAATAGCAATTTCATTTTTCGACAATTTTTTTGCAAATTTCGATGCACATGCTAACCCACCACAACCAGCACCAATAACAACTAATTTATAGTGATGTTGTTGGGTTGATAAACGACGAATAATAATATGATACATAGAATTCATTTCTTACTTCTTGTTCCTTTTTTTTACACTGATGGATACTTGTATTTTCTTTTTTTTTTCTTTTCTGTTTCTTGTCAGGGACACGTGTATGAAACGATGCACAATGACCTTGTTACGACGCGTTGATTATTTCTTTTTTTTATTTTTATTTTTACGAACAAAACTTTAAATAGATTGACTAATAATAATGATAAGCATAAAAAATAACAGGAATAACAATAAATATAGATATTAATGTTTCTTTCCATGCAATTGCTCAAGAAAAAGACCAAGAAAAACAAGTACTGTTCCAAACATTTGACGAATTGTTATTGGATTGCCAAAAATAAATATTGAACAAAGTATAGTAAAAAATTTTCGTGTTGTTGTAACAATTGAACATGTCAATGGGCCAAACCATTCAATTGTAAGAAAAATAAAATTCTATGAAATAAAAATTATAAAATTCATATTTTCGACATTTGTTTTTACTTACTTGTCCTACTGCACCTGTTAAACTGAGTAAAATAATCTTTGAAATAACATCAGGATATGTCTGAAGAAAATCAATAAAACCATATAATTCACCAGTTGCAAGAATACCAATGAATGCCCATAAACATGACCATATATTCATTGCAAACATCATGTGATAAGCTTGAACTTTATGTTTATCACGAATACTGTCTTGTATACCACCGGTAAGACCATCAAAGACAAGTGAAACAAACTATAATAAATTCGTATACATTCGATATGAGATAATACTTTCTTACACAATTTCGGTAGAATTAAAACTCTATATCAATCAAACTAAAGTTTATGACAGTCAATATGTTTTAGACAAGTTCTCATCACTTAAAATTAGAATATCGTTAGAAACATATTCATATAATTGAAAAAAACTATTCTGAATTAAACTATTCTATTTAACGGTATCTTTTTGTTATCTTAAGTACTTTACAAGTGTAAAATACTTCATTCTATTTACTTATACACGCTATAAGAGACGTAATACCATTTAAATAAACAATAGCAATACGCTTTTATTATTCTTAATAGGCCATATGTTATATTACTTATTGACATAAACCCTATGCACACAACTATTCTCTATTTCGTCATTCTATTCTGATTTTCTGTGAAACCTAGCAAAACAAGATCGTAGTTTAATAAGATAGAAATTGAAAATCGCAAAACATATATGAAGAGTTTTTGAATTAGATCGAATCATCTAGAAATTTTTCTAGTATCAATAATATTGATCTTGTTTTTAACGTTTACTTCTGTCGTACAAGTTCTTATTGATAAAATATACTCTTCATATGAAATAAATTATTATAATTATAGAGTAGATCATATGACTAATTAAGACAAATTTGTACTCTGCAGACCTCTACGTTTAGTAAACGACGTAATTATAAAACCGATCGATTTTTTCTTACATTATTTATTTATTGATATGTGTAAATAATAGAAGAATGTTTATTTTATCTACATAACTCATTATCAGATAATATATACTAACGTTCTTAAAACATGTCAATTTCTCATTAATAACGTACCAAAAGAAATTCTCCAATACCATATATTTCACCATCTTCAGTTGCTTTCGTTGTCTGTTTTGGTTCTTTATACATAAATAAAACCACTCCTAAAATTTTCTTTAATAAACAAATCAATCTATATTAATTTATTTTTCATACCGAAAACAATCAATAAAACATAAAGATATTTCTTCAGTGGATATCGTTTTCTTGCTATTAAAACACCCAAAAGCATAACTGGAACCGGTTTTGCTGATTTTCCTAAAACCTTAAATAAGAATTTAGAATATTATATATAAAATATATTCAAGAAAAGTTTACCTGCATTGGATAACTAACAAATTCTAAAGCATAATTACTTGAAAGCATTGCGAATAAATATGTAAATGATGAAAATGCATACATCTTCGATGGTGTTGCATCGCGATGAGTTTTTCGAATAATTAAAACTATAAAAATAATAAAAAAGAATTATTCAAAAAAACAACAGAAAAGAATTATTTACTAATTTTTGATACAAGGGCATTGAAACTACATAGAAAAAAAACTAACGATAAAATAAATGTAAATCTATCATTTTTTCCATATTTTCCTTTTACTCTAAAAAAATTAAATTGATTAATTATTTTTCTTTAAAATAAATTATTTTACATTGATTCTTGAACAATACCAAATATAAGATATGAGATAAATATTCCCAAAAATGAGACAAATAATTTTGTTGATTGTTTATTTAGTAATTTTTTAATTTTATCCAAATCATAAGATGTTTTTCGTAGATGAATATTATCATGTATGGTTTTAGAAACCACATCTGATGGAAATAGATCAAGATTCGTAGCCGTTGTGATTTTTTTATTCGGTACAAATAGATTTATTAGAAAAAAAAAACACTAAACTATGGAATGAGAGACGTTCATTTATAAAAAAATAAAAAGCGAAAAGATGAAATCATGTGACATCTATCATAGAAAAATTAGAAAGGATGATGATAAAGATAAATGGCTGATGATGTGTTTGGAGAAAAAAAATTTTTTCTTTTTCATTTATTTTATGTAAGCATCATGTCGACAACAATGGATCAAGTAGTCAAAAAAGCAAAAGATAGTTTCGGACAAATGTTTGATAAAAGTTTACATGATCTTGTTCGAGGTATTCGAAATCATAAAGATGATGAAGTAAGATTTCTATTTACTTTTTTTATTAAAGAAATTTATATGAATTTTTTAGTCAAAATATATTAACGAAGCTATCGATGAAATAAAACAAGAACTTAAACAAGAAAATATGGCAGTTAAAGCAAATGCGGTCAACAAATTAACATATGTATAGTTTCTAAATATAAAATAATAATAAATCTTTTTATAATTATTATTTTAGCTTCAAATGCTTGGTTATGATATATCATGGAGTGCATTTAATATTATTGAAGTGATGAGTTCAAACAAGTTTACATTTAAAGTATGTATTGATTTTGTTTTTATTGCGGAAACGGAAATGGATTTAACAAAAGAAAGACAATAACTTGTCATTTTTTTTAGAGAATCGGTTATTTGGCTGCTTCGCAATGTTTCCATGAAGGAACTGATGTATTAATGTTAACAACAAATATGATTCGAAAAGTAAAAATATAAATATAATTAATTTGTTTTTCATATTAAAAAATGTATACGTATTCTAGGATTTAAATAGTGCATCAATGTATGAAGTTGGACTTGCAATGAGTGGACTTTCATGTTTTATTAATGGTGATCTTGCAAGAGATTTAGCAAATGATATAATGCGTCTTGTAAGAAAATATTCATGAATATTTCTAATTGTAATTGTAATTTAATCTAGATGACATCAGGAAAAGCATATGTTCGTAAACGAGCAGTTCTACTTTTATATAAAGTCTTTTTAAATAATCCTGATGCACTTAAACCAGCATTTCCACGTTTAAAAGAAAAACTTGAAGATCCTGATCCAGGTTTGTTTATTTAATTTAATAATTAAATTATATTTAATCTCAATGAGTTCTTTTCTTCTCTTAGGTGTACAAGCAGCAGCTGTGAATGTTATTTGCGAATTAGCAAGACGTAATCCAAAAAATTATCTTGCATTAGCACCCATATTTTTTCGTCTTATGACAACATCAACAAATAATTGGGTTTTAATTAAAATTATTAAACTAGTAAAAACTAAAATATTCTTTTTTTCTTATTTAAATTTAATTTTTTTCTTAAAATTTTAGTTCGGTGCGTTGACACCTTTAGAACCAAGATTAGGTAAAAAATTAATTGAACCATTAACAAATTTAATTCATAGTACATCTGCAATGTCATTACTCTATGAATGTATTAATACTATTCTTGCTGGTAAAGAAAATATTAGTTCATGTTTTAAATATTTTATGTTTCCTTTTTTTCAAAGTTCTTGTATCAATTTCATCTGGTTTACCAAATCATAATGCATCTATACAATTATGTGTACAAAAACTTCGTATACTTATTGAAGATTCCGATCAGAATTGTAAGAATTTAATTTCAATGAAATTTATAAATCAATTATTTTTATTTAGTAAAATATCTTGGTTTACTTGCTATGTCAAAAATTTTACAAACACATCCAAAAAGTGTTCAAGCACACAATGATTTAATTATGCAATGTCTTGATGATAAAGATGAATCAATACGTTTACGTGCACTTGATCTATTATCTGGAATGGTAAAATATACATATTTCATATATAAAGAAAATAAAATGATATATTTATTAAGGTATCAAAAAAAACTCTAATGGATATTATACGTAAATTAATGGTTCATATGCATAAAGCTGAAGGATCACATTATCGAGATGAATTATTATCAAAAATAATTGAAGTTTGTAGTCAAAGTGATTATACACATATAGCAAATTTTGAATGGTAAATTTTATAATTATATCTATTTCTTATTTTATACATATTCCATAATATAGGTATATAAGTATTTTGGTTGAATTAACTCGTCTTGAAGGTACAAAACACGGTAGTCTTATTTCATTACAATTACTTGATGTTGCTGTTCGAGTTGAATCGATTCGAGAATTTGCTTGTAATCAAATGGTAAAATTCTTTTTTTTCTGTTTAAATTTTTTATAAGACAAAAATGAATTTAATTATATTAGGCTGTTCTTCTTGAGAATTCTCATGTTTTTCTTCTTGGTTCAAATTCATCAAGTGTTGCTGAAGTATTATATGCAGCTGCATGGATCTGTGGTGAATTTACTTCGTAAGTTCGTCGTATAATAAAACGAATAAAATCACATTAAACTATTTATATCTTTAGAAATTTAAAAGATCCACAAAAAACTCTTGAATCAATGCTTAATACAAAAATAACATTATTTCCTGGTCATATTCAATCTGTTTATTATCAAAATATTCTTAAAATTATAACATATATAATAACAACATCGGATAATAATGACACAACAGCAAAAAATCTTATTTCAATGTCAATTGATAAAATGTCATTATTTCTATCAAGTGACGATGTTGAAGCACAAGAACGAGTATGTGATTTTTTATTATTATTATTAAACAAAATCATTGAGATATATTTAGGCTAGTGTAATTTTAAATATACTTAAAGTAGTATTAAAACTAATTGAAAAATCTGAATTTAATCTTAATGAACTAAACGTTCTCTTCGATGGTATTCTTAATCCTGTTGCTGGCAAAGCTCAACGAAAGGTTGTTGTACCAAATGGATTGGATTTGGATGCATGGATTAATGATCCACCTTCGGAAAGTGAAGATGAATCTGTTCCAACAAATCAATATTATGAAAATAAAAATACGACTCAAAATTTATTTTCAAATAATGATAATAAAGAAGATTATTACCATAGTAGTAATCTTAGTTCTTATCCAGGAGATGGATCCGGTTATACTCAATCGAAAACTTATGCTGAACCATCAACGGAAGAAATAGAAAAACAAAGAGAAACAAGAAAACAAAGCGAAAAAGTAAATCCATATTATCTGAAAGGCTCAACACAAACAAAATTAATACAAAAAGTTTTTTTAATTAGGTTTTCATTCTTATTAATATTTATTTGAATATTTAGACCGATGCATCACCAATTAGTTCAAATACTAATGATCAGTCTCAAACAAAAACATCGACAGGAGCATTTCCCGCAAATTTACAACTATCACTTTCGGATCAATTATATCGTCAATCGAAAATTGACGAAGAAAATCGACGTTTAAAGAAAAAATCTAAAACAGATAATGGATCATCGAAAAAAGGAAAGAAATCAACGAAAAAATCCGATTCTACAACAGTTGATGAAGTCGATGAAGATTTATATCCAATCATTAAAGTAACACGTGGTGGAGAATTACCTGAAGGTGTAACAGAAAGTGGAAATGAAGATAATGAGAATGATGAACCTAGTGGAAAAAATAAGAAATATGATCCACATCAAGCATTAAAGAATATTAATTTCGATGAAAAACCTGTACAAATAGTTCCACCTCCAATAGTTCAAAAACCAGAACCAGTGGAAAAATTACCTACAACAACTGAAAAACCGAAAAAGAAAAAGAAAACAGTTGGAAAAGAAGAGAAACCATCATCATCATCGTCATTGAAAGTTAAACATAAACGAGAACGTAGTGATTATAAAGAATTATCATCACCTGCCGATATTGAAGACAAACGTGTTGTATCTCCAGCTCCACCACCACCACCACCGGCACCTACTACTACTGCTTCTCCTGTTGTACCAACTGAAGAAAAACCTAAGAAAAAGAAGACTAAAGAAAAAAAATCAGCAACAACTGATAATAAAACTTCAGAACCACTTCTATTGGATATAATGAGCGATGATATCATGTCAGGAAATTCATCGAATGAACAATACAATGAAGAAAATGTTTATAAATTAGCAGCACAATCTGATAATTTAATAATTGTAAGTAGAAACCCATCCTTCTCCACCCACACCCTCATGTATATTGTCAAAAGTCCATAGAATCCATATTTCAAATAAAATTTGTTTATTTTTTAGGAATCTTCCGTCATTCCATCGTCATCTACTGCTCAATTGGATGTTACATTTTTATTAAAAAATTGTACATCTTCAATAATTGATCATATTGGTATTAATGTTATTGATAGTATGAGTTCAAAATTACTTAATACAACAAGTAAAAATGAAATATCATTTCCATCTATAAGTCTATTTCCACATTCACAAAATTATATACATATTTATTTTGCTATTACGGCTATATCATTTCCACAAAAATTAAAAACAACATTAACATATTCAATACATGTAAGTCAATATGAAACACAAAAAAGTATTTTTTAAACATATTTTTTTAAAGAAATCATCGAATGAAAATCAGACAGAAACAATCGAATTTAAACTTGATCTACCTTGTTCACAATTTTTAAGAAAAAAAACTCTTAATTCGTAAGATAAGATTATTTATATTAGAAATAAAATGTTTATTTTTTTGATTTTTAAGTAATGCATTTGCTGATTTAATGAGTTCAGGTACATTAACAAGTCAATCACATATTAGTATTCCATCATCTAGTCAAGATTTTTCATCAATAATTAAAACTATTTGTCAATCATATCGATTAACAGGTTTGCCAATTAAGTTAAAAACAAACAAAACTAAATCTTATTTTTAGTTGTTGATCAAATTAATTCCGCTGCATCTTTATATTCAGAAAGTATTCTTGGACATCCAGTTGCTCTTCTATTTAAATCATCTGTATGTCATATTTCCTTTTTTTATTCTAATAATGTTTTTTATTTTCAAGAATTCTCAAAATGGCATTTCAATTAATGGAAAATCAAGTGAAACACATTTTCTATCGAATTTAATGGAAGAAATCAAAAGCTTCCTTAAATAGCAATATTACACATTTATTTGTCAGTCATATCTTTTATTTCCCATGCATTCATTCCATTTATTATTTCCAATTCTTTTCCGTGGACAGTATTTATTAATACAGTGATTTTTACCTTTAATAAACGACGCAATATCTTTTTATTTATATGTGTCAGATAGAGAAAGAAAATACGCATTTTTTGTTTTACTGACACATAAACAAATTCCTACCTGAGTAACGAAATTTTTTCTTTTATTCCGAATGATTATAGTCAATTTGTGTGTGTGTACGTTTTTTTTTGTTTTTTTTTTAAATCATTACATTTTCTTGATTATTTTATGTAAAAATTAAAGACAAATATATATATAAATATTTAATCATTTATGATTTTCGTTTTCTTTTCAGATGATTGACAAAAATTCATCCACATTTGAATTTATTAGACAAAATGTTGAAGTAAGAGAATTTAGGAAAATATATAAAATTAATCTTTTCAATTGAATTTAGGATGATTTAAAGAAATCTCAATGGAATACACAAAGAATTCGAGATGTTATTAACAAGTAAGTGATTTAAGAATGATGATTACTGCTAGATCCTATTGGAATCAGGCATACATATAGATTTTTCCCATTACAGGAAGTTTAATCGATCAATAAAAACTGCTTATTTTAATGAGTATACGAAAGATGCGCACGGCGTTTGGAACCGAAGCGAACCTATCCAGTGGCGGATCTAGAGTTTTGGAACGGGGGGGGGGCGATTTCGGTTAAAAACTATTTTTGAGTCCAATCGAAGTAGTGTGAACCTATTTTTCGTTCATTTTTGCTGTAAGAAATCAAAAACAAATTCTGAGCGAGGGGGCGACCGTTCACCCCTAAATCCGCCACTGAACCTATCCAACATCACCCTTACCTGTGGTACTCTTATCCGCACGCTCATACGCATCTTTCGAGATTTCACTCTAATGTCAAAACTACAAATATTTTATTTCTCTTATGGAACACTTTTAACTATATCCTTTTTACATAGGAATAATTCATCGGAATCTCGCACAGCGGTTGAACATGCATTTCGGTCAATTCTCTTCAGTTTAATGGTAAGATTACATGTTATTTTAGTTCAATGTAAGAGATTGCTTTCCAGGAACAACAATTGGAAACAACTCATGGAACAAATCTTGATGATATGGAAACATCAACATTTGTTACTGATCAATTTCTAACAAATGTTCGAAATTTAATTGGATATGCTATCGAAGCCGTTCATAGTGGTTAGTTAAAATTTATTTAGTATTTTTTCAATTATTATTTTGTTTCATTTTAGAACTTGCAGCAGCAACAATGCCTGTTTATATGTTTAATGATCTATTTGCTTATACAACTATTGATATAAGTGAACGAATATTTGTTGTGATGGAAGAAAAAGCTACTATTTGGCGATCAGTATGTTCTTATCTCATTAAATAGTTTTCATTATGATTACTTTTATTTATTTTAGGCTACCTTTTTTCCATCAGTAAAAAATGTGCTTTTACGAATGTGTAATGGTAAATAATCTTTATCTTTATTTGAAACAAAACTATATACAATACATTTAGATCTATTGAAACGTTTATCAAAAACTCAGAAAACTGTATTTTCTGGACGTATTCTGACATTTTTAGCACAATTATTTCCACTTAATGAAAAATCTGGTACAAAATCTTTTCTTTTGCTTTTCTATAAAGACAAATCTTTCTTGTTTCTATTTAGGTCTGAATCAAATCGGTCATTTTAACACTGAGAATGTTACTAAACTTACGAAAACTAAATCAGCCATTTCACCAGTCGAAGAACCTGAAGTACGTACATAAAACTATTTCATATATATATATTTTAATAATAACAAATATTTTATAGAAAGAAAAAAAAATGGAAGTCGATGAAGATGGTGAAATTCATGATTTGTAAATTTTTCATTTTGTTTACTTTTGTTAATATTTAATTTCTTTTTTGCAGACACCAAAAAAGTTCAGCTGAACTCTATACAAATTTTTGGACATTACAAGAATTTTTTTCAAAACCATTTCAACTTTGGGAACGAACATCATGGAATACTTTTGTACATGTAAATTTCTCACGATAAAATCATTTCATACAATGAACGTTTCATTTTAGAATACAAATCAAGTACTTGATGGTTTTACAAACAATCAATTAGATACGATTAAAACTGTTGCGTCAACAGATGATACTTTCTTTGCAAAATATTTAACAAGTGAAAAAGTTAGTTATTTGTATTCAGAGGCAAATACATTTAGTGGCCTAATTAGACTAATCAGTCACTGGAGAGTTGAGGATATGGGTTGCGATATAATTAAGATACACCCATATCTACTCACACCCACCCACCCACACTCACCCACATCCACCCATACTCACCCACACCCGTCGCTTTCAACTTTCCAATGACTGACTAATCTAATTGGGTCATTAAATGATGTGCGATAAGTGTATTTATCCTTTAAATAATATGAAACCAAATAAATTTTTGTTTTTGTATTTTTAGTTACTGGAATTACAATTGAATGATGTAACATTTCGACAAAATATACTCGTTCAATTTTTAATTGTATTTCAATATCTTATTTTACCTGTTAAATTCAAACAACCACAACAAACACTTAATGATGAACAATCTCAATGGATTAAAAAAACAACAAATCATATAAATGAAGTAAATGTTTTATAGAATTATTTTATTTTTTATGCTTTTCTTCGATTTCTAGTTATTAAAACAAACTGGAACAAATGCGGATATATTTACTGTTTCTATTCAAGTTTGCAGAAAAAAATCTTATTTTAATTTATTAAATAAATATTAATCTTTAGCATATACTTAAACGAGAAGAAATGTGGAATCTTTGGAAAAATAATGGTTGTCCTGATTTTTCAAAAACTAAAATTGATCTTAAAAGAAAAAGTTCAACACAAACTAATGAACCTTATCGATTATCTGATAGTATTCGGTAGGATTAATATAATATTTTTATTTAATAATGAAAGATATTTTGTACTTTATTCTAGACAATCGATTCAACAAGCCTCTAAACGTCGTGCTATGAATTTTGAAGAATTACGAAGTCCTAGTCAACAATTTATTCCATCAATTCGTGAATTTTTCGAACCAATTATTGATCAACTACAAGCCATTCCAGCAAAAGCTTCGCCAAATGATTCAACCGATACTAAACAATCATCAACAGCAACAGAACTTGATAAAGAACGTGAAAAATTTTTACAACAAGATCCATCACTTGTCTGGCGTGCATTACGTTTATTAGCTCGTCAATCGCCATATTTTTTCGTTCATAATACTCAAACTGTTCCAAGTATGGCACAATTTCTTGTAACAACATGTGAAAAAATTCGACGAGAATATATGACTTCAGCAACAGCGATAGCACCAACAACAATTGCGGCTCCCACTCCTCCACCAGCAACATCAACAACAAATGCTGATGAAGAAGATGAAGATACAACAATGGATGATGAACCATTAGAAAATCCACCAAGTGCAGGTGACCCAAACAATACTGATCAAGAAATTGAAGAAGAAGCAACAACAACATCGTCGATGCCAAAAGTTGAAGAAGACGATGATGATGATAATCGTGATAGACGATTTGCATCAATTAAACGAACATCTATATAATCTCATGTTTTTGTGAAATTTTGTTATTGTTTCAACACGACACAATCTATATCCTTGTATTTTTTATTTGAAGAATTTCAATGAAAAAAAAGTCAAAATCTAATGAAATCAAATTCTTATCTTTATTTTCAATTTTAAGCTATTTTTTTCTTCTTCTTTACATTACAATAATTTTTTTTTGCTGAAACATTCATTTAATGATCAGACTAATCTCGTTTGTGAGTTATTGAGTTGTAGATTAAATACAAATGACATCCTTATCAACAATAACTGATGATGAAAAAAAACGTTATGTGATTATAAGTTATATGTTTGAATGTGGTAAGAATTTATTTGTATATCTGTTTATCTATTGTGTCTTTTTAGCTGCTAAACTTCGTTTAAGTATTGTTACAACAGCATCAGCTGCTGTTATTTATCACAAATGTTCTTCTTATCTTGAAAAAACAGATTTTGATCAATATGTAAGTTAAGAGTTTTTTTTTATTTTTGGACAACTTGTTTAAAATGGTTTTCTAGACTTTAGCAGCAACAGCTTTATCATTGGCAAGTAAATATGAAGAAGAACATGTTAAAATTCGAGATCTAATCAATGTTACATATCGGTACGTTTTATAATACAAAAAAATGGAATTGATTTTTAAGCAAAGAATTACCAGTGGGTTTCCAGTAGAAAATATCAGGGGCTTGAGAGTAGGCACAGTGGCGTACGCAGAAATTTTTTAAGGGGTAGGCCCATTTCTATAGAAACTGGAACTTGCTGGAAAATAATTTTGATCTAATTTTTCACTAAAGTTGTTAGTATTTATTCATCAACTCCTATTATAAAGCTCAGCTATAAAAAAGGAAACTACTGTAAGACCAAGTTCATCAGCAAAATTCTAGGGGTGAGACCGGGCTCATTCGGCCCACCTCTTGCGTACGCCATTGAGTAGACATCTAGCGAAAGAGTGCCATAACTCGATTCAGATACTTTTGCTTAGAAAATATTCATCCCCGTTTTCTTTTAGAACACTTTATCCTGATCGACCATATCTACGTATATCAAATGAATATTATCGTTTACGTAATACATTGGTTGATTGTGAATTATTTTTAATTCGTATTCTTGGTTTTCATTTTCAATTTAATCATCCAAATAAATATCTTCTTCATTATTTGGATACATTAACGAAATGGATGATGATAACACCATCGACACCAATTAAAAATAATATTAATTTAATTGATATTGCAATGTCTATTTTACAAGATACATATTATGATTTTACATTAATTAAAGATTATTCTCCACAACATATTGCAATTGTTATTATTTATCTTCTAATCAAAACGTATAATTTGGAAATACCAGGTGTAACAAATGATGATGAACATATTAATTGGATGAAAGTAAGAAACACAATAAAGAAGAGCACAATACAATTTTTTTATTCTGGTTTTAGGTATTTAGTTCATCAATGACAAATGATATTCTTATTGAAATAATTACTCGAATTAATACTGTCTATAAATATGTTGAAAGAACATTAGAACATTCGTCATCGATAAAGTCTCATTAGTCAAAATTTTTGTTTTCTCATTTGTTTATTTTGTCTTGTTAAAAAATAAAAAGCTTTTTTTTGTTTGAATAAAGATGAAAAAATTGAATATGTAAATTGCTCAATTTTATGCCTTTGCAAGTCTCAGAATTTTCTTGTAGATTCTTACGAAAGAAAATTAGCTGTTAATATGGTTAAATAATTTGCATTGGAATCAATAAGGATAAGATTTTTTCAAATATGTATTCGGCTTGTCTACGGAAAGAAGTGATACCATCATGGTCGTTTGTAATGAATGAGAAGTCGCAGACAACTGTGCAGTGCTCCGTTTTGAAAAGTACAACTCTTCGTCTAAAATCGTAAATGCATCCGATCGTAGATAACAAGCTGTTTATGCATAATGAGACAAACAAAACGTGACAGAATCACTTCCTTCTGTAGACCAGAGCTCGGTGGGACTACGGGATAGAATAAATATTTTTAGACTTACTACGGAACGGGACGAGACAAACCTTTATGCAGAATTGTCCCCCGCTCAATATTATTGAATGGTTATTTTTCTATAAATTGAACTTTTTTCAAATTAGATTTTTTTAAACTATGTAATACATTTATTTAAAAATAAGCAGTTAAAGAAAATAAATAGGTGAAGAAAACTAATAGTGAAACACTGCGTACATCTTTATCATTTATAGAATAAATTGATAAACATCTTTGATAAGAGACGATAGGACGCGATGCAACCTATTTTAGAGTAACGGGACGCTTAGAAGTTTTTGCGTGAGAAGCAGGATGATACGGGATACTTTTTTATCAATGTGGGACGGGACGGGATAGAAAAATCCTTGTCCCGCCGATCTCTGCTGTGGGCAAGCCGTATTTAATTTTATCAATTTAAAATTGAATACTTGCTTCTAAAAGATTTATACGAAACTGATGTAAGATGTTAACCTTATGGAATTTTTAATTAATGATTATACCATTAGAAAAACTATATCAATATTTTTTAGATGAATTCGATTACTCGTATTATTTGGCTTTCATTAAATTTATTCTTTGGAGCTCCACTTGCATGTCTTCTTTTTGCTTGGGCTGCGTGTGATATGCAAGTACCATTAGACATAAAAGATTTTACTTCAACTTATTTACCTATATTCAATCCTATCTTTGATGTACCATATGTACATATTAATCAAGTATCAGATTCAATTATTGCTAAATTAATATTCAATGCTTTTCTTGTTGCAATTTTTGGTTTTATGCATACATTATTTGCACAAGAATTTGTTCATAATATTCTTAGTCGTTTCTTATTTCCGAAACAAGCACTTCGAACAGTTTACTGTATGATAACAAGTATGACGGCTTTTATTATTATAGGATTTTGGCAACATACACATATACAACTTTGGAATTTCTTACCAAAAACAATGAATATTTACCAACAACAACATATTCTATTAATACTATATAGTATTATCTTTATACCTGGTGATGTAATATTTTCAGTATTTTTATTATAACAAGACTTTTTATTTTTAACAGCATGGTATGTGATCATTAAATTTAATCCATTTGAATTTTGTGGTGTAAAACAGATCTTTGGTCAATCGGAGAATAGTAAATGTCCATTTTCATCATCATCAGTAAGCATATCTGAGGACCGTACAACAGGGACTCCGGCATTGATAACTAGTGGTCTTTTTCGTCTTTGTCGACATCCATTATATTTATTTACGATATTAGCCTGGGCAATTACACCGGTTATGTCACTTGATCGTTTAGTATTTATTATCTACATATGTCTATATGCATTAATTGGAATACCAGTTGAAGAACGAAAATTAGTTCAAATATTTGGTCAAGCTTATGTTAATTATCAAAAACATGTACCAGCTATTTTTCCTGTTTCTATTACTAAGACTAAACAGAACTAGTCGCCATGCATTTTGCTTTAATACATTTTCTAAAACTGTTAATTGTTAGAAATATGTGTGATCACTTTCTTAAATAAACAGAATTATTCTTTTAAAATGCAAGTTTGTTGTATAATAATGCATGAGTCGATGAATAAATATTTTATTTGTTTTGTTTCTATGGTTGTAAACTGACATAAATATTACACATAACCTTCATATAATTCAGAAGTCACCGGGGTGTTCTTTTTTTAATGACAGCTGCAAAGAAAAATAACTATTCTTGTATTTATCTCGTATGACTTCAAAGAAAAAACTCAGAATTATACGTGATTTTGAGATCATTTATTCGACATTTTATATTGAATAAATCAATAAAAAAAAGTGTCATATAAATAAATAATATATATTTATAAAAGAAATCTCATAGAGTTGTATATGAATAAACTATGTATAAAATAATTATGGTACCCAATGACGATTATATTTTGATGGAACATATGGTGGTGCTTTTCGATTTTCATGAGACAATTCATCATTGCAACCGAGGCATAAATTTGAAAAGTAATTTTGTCGTTCATAATGTGTTGCACATACCATTCGAGGTTCGCGTTTGCAACGTGTACATAATCGACCATCATCAACTGAACTCGCTCGCGGTCGTATAAAAGTTTTTTGTTTGGATTTCGTTGGCGTCGTTGTTCCTCTTCCAGATTGATATGTTTCAGATGGATTATGTCGACGTGGAGTTGTACCTAACTGACCTTCAATTGAATATACTGTAATCTTTTGATTTGGATTCACATGTGAATAAGATTGAGGTGCATGATTTGAACTTCTTGATATTGCTCTGGTAACAGGTCTTGGTGCTGATGTCTCTTGTGGAAAATGCCGTTGTGAAGATGTATCTGGTTGACCATCGAGTTTATATACTGTAACTTTATTATTAGGCATAGAATGTGAATATGATTGTGGCGGATAGTTTGAATTTCTTGATACCGCTCTATTCATAGGTTTTGCTGATACTGATCTATTCATAGGTTTTTCTGATACTCTATTTGTATCATATGATGGAAATACATTACGATTAACATTGTAAGGAACTTGTTGTTGTTGTAATTTAATGTATCGATAAATAATATATGTTAATATATATAATAAAACGAATAAAATATATAAAACAGAACAGAACAATTGAATACTCATAAAGATAAGTTTCAGATTCATATCTGTTGTAAAATATGATGGCCATGTTATAGTAACTGGCCAACCAGTAAAAGTTGTTCCACTTGATGTTAAGATTCCCGCATTATTACAACTAAGAATGAAACATCGAGTAGGATCGACAAAAACAAAAACATCATATGTAATTAAAGCGGCACATAATATAATCATTAGACAACATACAAATATAGTAAATCGGATAAAACATACATTGGGCACGCATGCTAAATAAAGAAAAAAAACCTTGTCAATTATTGTATACAAACTATTTTTTTTTTCGTTCTTTGTTTTAAAATCCTTCACAGCACTTTACAACAATACTATTCAATTTCGTTTATTTACTTATGTAACAGTTTTCATACAATCAAAAGATTTCATTAATCATAATTTCTACAATATATCTATCATATCAGTCAAATACAATACTTTTTTCTCGATGTCAATATCTATTTCACTCAACTATGATCTAAATCAATATTATTGTACAAATATTGTTTATAAAAAATTTACATAGTTAAATATTGAAAAACTTACCAGTAATCATAATAAAAACCGCACAGATAATTAAAGGAATAAAAGAGAAAAAACCTCCGAATGCTGTTGCTCGATATAAATCAGCAATTGTATTACCAACTTCCATACCGGCAATGATAAATGTTAAAAATATTAGAATTATTCCAATTATAAATATCCATGGACGAGGCCATCGTACATGTAATCCGTGCTTATTAAGCATTTTTGGCGGCGGATTCGGCTGCCCCGTCCTATACATCCTTTCAGTTTTATAAAATTTGAAATACTAATGTGCACGACTTGCAGAGCAGCACAACAAAAATTTTTTAAAGTTTTTAGTTTTTTTATATAGACGAAAAAAAAGAGAAGAGGATGAAAAAAGAAAAACATATTAAAATTGTCGTTAAATGTTGATAAGTGCAATGAGTAGGTAGAGAATCATTACCGTTTTCGTTCTTGTCGAACAGTTTCGCAAGGAAAACGTGTACAAATCATTTATTTTTTGTTGCTATCGACGCCTGTGTTAGCAACAATAATAAGTAAAACAACAATTATATGTATAAAGCAATATTTTCTTTTTTCGATGTTTTGAAATGAGCCTACAAGATACATTCCAATCTACGACTTTTTGTTTAATTATACACACCCTAAATTTTCGATTATTTTGCTTAAAAGAATTGTAACTTAGTGACCTCTATTGATTTTGCAAATTAGTAAAGGAATGAATATTTTTTTTAACTGGATAATTAATGAAACCATAGAAATTATTAGTTCTTTTTATTAACCATAAATTCATTGTATTTTATTATTTATTTTTTAGTCAATATAGAACAAACAATTAATATTCTGTTGTTTTTTTTTCTATTTCATGTTCAGTATGAATAAATATATATTGAAAAGAATTTGTTCATAATGTTTAAAACTTTAATCAAAAAAGTTCGTGAAGAAAGTAGTAATCCAAGTATTTTGCCTGAAAATAATGTCGATGATATAAATGGAAATGTAACTAGAGAAAATAATAATAATTCAGAAGAACAAAATTCTTCATCTACACGGAAACATCGTAAGTATTTTTCTTGATTCTATAAACAATCTTTTAATATATATTTGAAGGTCGGTCTAATTCGAATACATTGCAATCACTAAGTAATAATTCCAGACTATCGTCAATTTCCAATGAAGTTCGTAGATTTATTACTTAGTATTTCATTTATATTGTTTTTTGGAATCTTTTAGCCTGAGAAAAAAGAAGAATCTATAGCATCTTTGTCCGAGATATTTGTTTCATCTATCGAAGGTATGAATTTTTCTTACTGAAAAATAGAATTTCTTTCTTTTTCTAATTATTAGAACCATTAACTGTTGATAATTATGTGCAACTTTTGAAAGCATGGGTAAATAGAAAATTGAATAATAAAATGAAATATTCTTTATTTATTATAGATCGATTCAAAAGAAGAAGCTTTACAATTAAAAGATGATACTATATTGAGGTTAACACAAGACACAAAGGATCTACAAAATGAAATGATTGTACTTAGAAATAAACTCGCAGAGTTACAGTAAGTTTCTTATTACTGTTCAATACATTATCTAAGAATCCATTTATTTTTCTTAGAATTTTAAGAGAGAAAAATACAAGTAGCAATACGACTAAAGTAAGTTATTCAATTACTTTTTTATTATAAAAATCATGATTTTTCTTTCAGACTCCTTATTTGCAAAAACAAATTGATACTCTTCGTTCCGACAATGAAAATCTTAAATTAACTATAAAATCTTTACGAACACAATTAAACGATGTTGAAGCTGGTTCGTTAAGAAAAATTTATTGGTATATATATTTATATTATTTTCTCTTTTAGAAAGAGATGATTTACTTATAAAATCAACTGATATATCCGATGTAAAATCTAATGATGATCTTCAAAGAAAATTCGATATAACTAAAGCTGAAAATGAACAACAAAAAATTGAATTAGAAAAATTAAGACAAGCTCTTATTGAACGAGATACTATTATTGAAGAACAAGATAAACGTTTATTAGTTGATCACGAAACACAAGCAGTACAAACAGTTAGTCAATTACATATTATATGCATAAAAAAAATATGATTTAATTATAATATTCTAGGACGAAGATCTATCATTTGTACAAGTACTTGCTGAACCAGATGTCGATACATATAGTAAATTACAAGCAGAATTAGACGATAAAAATCGAGTAAGATAAAAACAGCATCAGTTGTATATTTCGAATTAGTATCGATTTTTTTCGATTATAATGATTTGATTGGTTGTGTTATTTTTCTTGCACCATATGTCTACTCTTAAGAGCAATATGTGTCAGGATCAATGAGGCATATTGACGATTTGCTTTTTGATTACATATTATTCTATTGATGATTAGAATACGTATGTTTTTCGATCAACTTGCTAGCAAAATAATGAATATTTTCTTAGAGGATTTGTTATTTATATATGAAATATTATGCATAAATATGAAATATTATGCATAAATCTAATTTTATTTTTATTGATAATTAATTTAGACAATTAAAAACTTACAACAACGTTATAATGATCTTCGTAAAACACTTCAACGTGAATTTCATGCATCTATACCAAAAGATCTCAATCAAATGGGATCATCAAAAACAAATAGCAATACTCCATCATCCTCAGCTAATCTCCCCTTAATACATTATGATTCAGCAGCAACATCACAGAGTGATGCTGATGCAGCTAAACGAGCAGCAGCAGCACGATCAATGACTGCAGTACGTAAAAATGTGACATTTACAGGGGCGACAACAGCAGCAGCAGCAAGTCCAGCGATTTTACCACATACAACAGTTGAATCAAGTTCAACAAAACCTCAAAAGAATGGGCATCGTTCATCCATGGATGGACAAACGCTTCCAAATGGAACGAGTTTTAAATATATGAAGCATGTTTTACTAAAATTTATGACTGCAACTGAAGATGAGGTAAGATTGATGAAAATGATAAAAAAACAATTTGTTTTTTATGTAAATATAATTAAAGGCTATTCATCTTATTCGTGCTGTATCAACATTGCTCAATTTCTCAGCCGATGAAGAACGTCTTCTTCGTGAAACACTCGATTATAAGATGTCGTGGTTTGGAAAAGTATCGCGTAGTAAACCAGTGGCATCCAGTACAAATTTTTAGTTTTAAAGAAATATATACATATATACACACACGTTTAAATTGTTACAGTCTTTATTTATTCAAATAAACATTTGCTTTGAACGAAATTGGTTGGAAACGCTCGATTGAATTTTTTTCTCCCTATTCAATTTTGATTTTCTTGTTTTCGAATATAATTTATTTATGATATTTATTGATATAACTTGTAAAAAATATTGAACTTGGTGGACCTTTAATAAATGTTTCGTATTGGTGAGAAAAAAATGGTGCTAATCCAAATGATTGAGGATCAAGTTTTATTTGAATTTTTCCATGTTGAGTATTTATATCTTGTATAACTATTTCACCTTGATTCTGATTATTCTCATCGATTTCTTCATCCTTTGAGATTGTTGTAAAAGTAGGTCCTGTAGGAAATCGTTGATCACGTATATTTTCACAATTATACATTGGAATACAAATAGCTGGATATGAATTCTTATTCGAACTTTTTAATTTCAATGGATCAATTCCAATCATTGCATTATTTAATGCAAACTATAAATTTTTATGAAAAATATACTGATAAAATGCTTTTCTTTTTTATTACTTGTTTCATTTGTTCAGCATCACGCATTATCTGTCGTAGAGAATCTTATAAAGAAAAAAAGTTAATATTCGATAAACTATTAGAAAGAATAACTTACAATGAAGAAAATTACAACAACAATTATTACATTGTTCAGTTGTATTTACTGTCGATGTATTATTCTTTATTACCTTATCGACTTTTTGTTTTCCTAAACAAAATTCAAAGCAGATAGTTCTTGCGAATTTTTCTATATTAATTACTGGTTTTTGATGAAGATTTAGATTTACTATTACTTCTAATTTGATTTATGCCAATTTTTCAAGATATATTTTCAATATAAACTTACTTTGATGTTGTCTTACTATTTAAACTACCTATAAAAATGTTAATTAAATAATTTCTATTAGGATTAAATTACTTTTTCTTGATATCGATGTTTTTCTTTTACCAGATTTTTTTATTCTATGAATTAAACAAATACAAGCAAATGATATTATTCTTGTTTATTTACTTCGATTTATTTTTTACTGGTTTTCTCGAATTAAGATTACGATTGTGTGCAGTAGATATTTCCATTTGTTCTTTCGAAGGATTTCTATCTGCATCAATCAATGCACTCATCTCTGTTCGAACAGTATTAACAAGTTCTCGAATGTCCTAATCAGAGATACAAGAGAATATATTGAGATTTATTCTTATTATTTTCACCATTTCATTGTATAGTTGTTTTATATCTGATTCAGTATCCACTGGTAATGATTTCTGTTGTGCCGGAGTCATTGAATTATTTCTATTCTCGATTGCTTTTATTTGAGATTGAGGAAATTCTTCTACTTGATATACTGATGATAAGTTATCGTTATTAGTATGAACTAAAATCGAGTTTTGATGATCGTTAGGATAAAATTGCTTTTCTGAGAGTTGTTTATGCATCTGTAAACGATTAAAATGAGCTGTTTCAGTATCATGTGTATGATTGTCTGAATAAGAAATATTATAATTTTTCTGTTTATGTCGATAGCTTAGTAAATTATTTTCATCAATAATCTTAGTTTTTCGACGACAACATGATTGCTTAGGATAATTATTGATTTCTTTACTGAATAAATGATGAATTATTTTCGGTAATGATTCAATATGTTGGATAAGATTAACAATGGAAAGATCTTTTTCATTGTTTTTCTAATAATATTTATATAATCTATTAATTAATACTATCGATAATTTCATACTTGTTTCTTATTTTGAATATTTTTAATCTGTTTAGAATTCGAAAATATATTATATTGAATTGATAATAACTTAAAAAGTAAATTTTTCATATCTCATCGTGCAAACATTTATAAAATATGCGCGTTTTCCTAGAAATAAGCTTCAGTATATTATAATTTTAATTCAAAGATAATTTATACAAATTGTTCAAACCCTAATTGCTTTTAGTAGGTTGAGAGACGAATTATTTTCTACGTTTATAATGTAATATTACTTTGTTATCATTAGAGTATAAATGGAGGTAACAAAATTAGTTCGAGTTTCTGTTATTAATATTCTATTCAAAAATAAACATAACGTTCCGTAAGTGCATATGAAGGTTGTCGTATATAGTTCTATAACGTCAATTAGAATATTTAAATATATAATCAATTAATTAATGTGTTTGAAATTCTTGTCTAGTTTATTTCTACTCGTCTTTTTTTATCACGGTTAATTAATGTAAATAGTATGAAATTATATTAATTGTAGTTCTTTTTTTTTTCAAAATAGATGAGATAATTATCAATACTTTCAAGGAAGTGGAGCGTTTCAGTTTGGAAAAATTGCACTCGTTTATGAAATACTATGAATACACAATTTAATAGCAGATGAATTATAGGAGTTATTTTCCCACATATTTGACATCTGTCGAATACGGACTGAGAAAAAAGTCAAGTTTTAAAAGTGACTACAAATTTCATAGTAAAGTTTTACCCAGAAATGAGACATGTAGCTTTGCAGAGAAAAATTTTCTCTATCGAATGGTATATATACTATCAAATTCTGTTGAGTACCGTAAAAGTCGATTTTTGACTTGAATTCAAGCCAGTTAGAGACATACTTCCAACTTTCTTTTGTGTCCGTGAAACTCAATAAAACATTGATTTGGACCCTCAAAATACATCAGTTTGTAGAGAAAACATCAAAGAACAAAACCTTCACCTAAAAAAATTTAATGTAAAAAATGAACTATAGGCAAGAGATTTAGTTGACTCCGATACAGGTCTCTAGTTGGCTTGAATTCAAGCCAAAAATCGTTCTTGAAACGATAAAACTCAAGATTCTCGTTTTAATATCTTGTACAATACAGATAAAAACATCACGGAGAATTTATTCTGTCCTTCCAAGTCTGAAGTAATCAATATATTTTTGACAAGGATTTCTTATTTTGAATGTACACTTACTTGACCCCTTATTTCATTTTCAATCATCATCAACAGAAAATACAACAATGCTCTTGGCAATCCTTGATCTTGATTTTTATCCTTTAACATATAATTTACCTTCCATTTGTATTTGTATACGGAATGAGTTTAATATGTTTTTCAAATCATTACTCAATTTATATCTATCGATATATTCAAAATTTCCTCTTTTGATTCTCTGAAGTATTCTTATGAAATAATATTGAGTATTGATGCGAGTTACATTAACATTAATTTTTATTAAAAATGATTCGTTGTCATTATCAGTGCCTCTTTTTTTCTGTCAGAAATCTATAATCTCAATTTAAATAATTATGAACAAGACAAAATTTAAATGTCAAACTAAGAAGGTGTTGGTGCACAATTTCGTGTAGAAATATTCGATGATGATGCAGAACGGTGACGTAAATAGGAAAAAGATCGATCAATTGGATCACATGTGATTGAATCTTCTGATTGTTGAACAATATAATAACATTTAGCACTAAAATATTAGATAATTATGTACAAATATAATGAAATATTCTATAGATAAATAACCTTGCTAAACGTCTAACATGTGAATCAATTACAGATTGATCATGCGTTTGCCAAGAAAGTGCAGATTGTGAATCATGACCATCCCAATAGGGTGTTGTAGTACGATGAAAAGAACGAAAATCATCTGAAATCACATGACGAGGATCATCCGCTTTTTGTGCTTGTGGTCTACATCCTAAGGATGAGAGTGTACGACGTTCATTCAACCATTTGCGATAGGAAAGAAGGGTTGGATCAGATAAAAATCTTGTGTGAATCTTGTATAAAAACATGTGACACATAGAGCATGCAGTGAAATATTTATTTCTATTTTTACCTCCTCGGCTTTATCATCATATCGTGCCAATGCATCATATTCACGTGTATCAAAATCATCTCGAGTAATAAATCGCTATGAATTACAAAAAAAAACAATGATTATTTAGTTCGAGGTCGACAAAGAATTCAATTAAAAATATGTAGACAGAAGTATTCCAGGGGTAACTAAAAATATTGTATTTTTAAATTTCCTTAAAAGTCATAAAATTTTCTGCTTTTCAAAAACTAATTTATTGTAAAATTTTCTCATTTATATTTTATCACGAAATGCATAGTTATTGTTTTAAGAGCTTTCTTTTTCTTTTAAAAACATTTGTTAGATATAATAATCATATGCCTTTGAAAAAAAGAATTTCTAAGTATACTTTCAACTCAAAAATTGTTTCATGAAGTATTATTAGCATACACCATTTGTCTACATTAAATTCCTTTTTTTAGCTATGTTAATTAACGATAAAAAATATCATTTAACAGTTTTCCCTGGAAACTCAAGAAGTAAAAATATTTCCCGACAAAAATATGATATTTTTATTTATTTACTAATATTTTCTTAGGAAATAAATCCGATTTTTTTGAACTTACATGTTTATTGATAAATTCAAGAAATTGATTATATTGTTGTGTTTTGAATCGATTTCGATTCGTACGTGTTTTTTCCAAACGTTCACACTGCTTGCCTTTTGCATGTAAAACTGGTTCACGTACATTATGATAATAATTTCTATAGATAAATTCTCGACGACGATTTGCTTCAAAATCATTTCGATTTATCAATTTATCAGTATTCTACAGAAAATAAAAAATATATGACTTTTTTTGAAAATTTATTTTATTTTACTTTAAGAAGTTCTTTTGTCGTCGCTTTAATTTCATTATAGGAAGAATTAGTATTTGATTCAGTCTATAAATAATTATTTCCTTTTCAAATAAATATTCCTAATTGAATTTTACTGTTTGAAATTTTTGTTTGAATTGTTTCTGTTGTTCATTCCATTCATTTATTTCCCATAAACGACGTGCACTAGCATGACGTGATGTACGACGTTGATTATTTGTTACTTCTTGTTGTTCAGCTGGATCTTCATGACACGATAGTGATGATGAAGCAGTAGGTATACTCGATGTTGCACTCTATATAATTTATTTTATATAAGCAAAAAACTTGAAAATGACAAAAGTGCTCCTACTTGAACTCGTCTAGAATTTTGTTTAATATAATCATTTATGAATTTTTCTTCCGGATGGGCATCTTCTAATGAATCAGATTTTTTAGCTACATCGACTACTAAGTCCGAAGCGGCTTCTTCCGATACAACTTCAATCACACCACCCCGTTTTGGCTGATATAAAGTCGACATATATACAAGAACAACAAGAAAAAATTCACTTTATTGGAAGTTTTCAAAAATTTTTTTCAATAACAGTATGTTGCTATGAAACATATAAACAAATCGTATTCAATGTGCGACATCTTATAGAGTTCTCACATGTCGGTTTTAATACGATTGTATTTCTTTTAAACCCTTGTATCTTTTTTTAATTAATCATAAATACACTTTGTGTAACTTTAATCAATACTATTCCTATTTCAATTGACGTCATTAAATGTTTGCTATTTTTCTAATTGTTTCTGCTTGAATTACCACATGATGTTTTTTTTTCTTCTGTACTTAATCACATATATCTATATATGTCATATGAAGGAAATATGTAGGTGCACACGATCTTCTCACCTATTATCTATTTGACAAAGAATAACATGTTCGAACCTTTTATTAAAAGCATTTTAATTACGTGCGCTTTGTTCAAGGATGTATCAATTGCGTAGGATGTTATAATATAATATACATTGTTAGTACCTGCAAGATCATACGTCATGTATGAATGTATCTAATATAATAGACATGCTTAATATAGATTAATTATCGATGATCGATACAAAAAATTTATTTTATAGATATTTTGATTATCGTTCTTCGTTGATTTCGTTCTCTGAGTGTATTTTTTTTTGATTGTTGATTGGTGTTTTTTTCATGAGACACGTATACACGTCAAAGTATGTCTTTGGACAAACATTATTTTTAAGTCAAGGACCGACAGACACGTAGGTGGATAAAAAGAGTATAATTACAGCAAATAAATGCTAGACCATTTTTCTTCCTTCTTTTTATTTTATAGTTACCTATGTAAATATATAGGTGACTTGAATAATGATATTCATATTTAATATTAGAAGAGACAGAGAGCGAGAGAGGAAACTAATAAAGGTGCTGTTTATACATAACTTTTTTTCTCTCGTTTTCTCTCTCTCTTTTGCTCCTTACCTTTACACTTTAACTTGCGGAGTGTATCCGTATTAGAAACTAGAAGGAAAGAAAACATTCTGATACAAAATACCTAGTTGTCTCTAAGAGAAAAAGAGAAAAAGAGAAAAAAGAGAAAAAGAAAGAAAAAATGTAATTTTGTGATGGCGAGCATTTGTGTGAAGTATATCTCAAGAAAGGTCGTTTCTAATCTGCTGCAGGCAGCAGTCTTTTCCTTCAATAAATTAAATCGCAGGCGATTATCCCTAATATTAATCAATATTAATTTAACATCATGTCTCAACAAAATATTCAACAACAAGGATTTTCCTTTACTACATCGGCTGGTTCGATGAATGATTTTAATAATTTTAATCTTAATTTCGATTTCAATATTCATCAAGCACCATTGGAAGTATCTGAAGTAAGAAAATAAATATATATTTTTTCTATTGACATAAATCCAAAAACGGATAGTCTTTATATTGACTGCTTGTATATTCTCCTACGTCATTGAAAAAGGAAGAAAACAAACGGTTGCTATACTTCAAATAGTAGACTGATGAATAGGTTGAAAACAAAATAACTGAATTTGCGACTTTTTTTTTATTTATTTGCTTTTCGCACGGACACCTTGATCTCGAGAAATTTTTGTTTTCTATAGTCAATATCTTACGAAATTTTACCGATTGTTGTTTTTTACGAAACCTAATCAAGTCTCTAAATATAGTATCCTTTTCATTACTTCCGAGAAAGAGTTTGAATACAAAAATTTCAACAGATGTCTATTAAGAATATTTCTTGTCAATACAATTTCCTGTGACAGAAGGCAGATATCTTTCATGTGTGAAATAAATTAATAAATATATAATAACAAAAAAAAAATAATTACATTTTTTAATGTTCTTTAGTTACCAAAAGGACGTCGTGATGTTACGAATGATCAGATTGTACGACTTTACAAAGCAACATTAATTAAACGACCAGGAGAACGAGTCGAAGTTCGAACAAGTGGACGAAAAAATAAAAATGAAATCTTAGGTTTAACACTTACACGTTTAATCAAAGATAAACATTTAAAAGGCAACAAATATTCTTGTAAGACGAAAAAAAAAGATTGCATATCTTATGTTGGAAATTTTTATTGAATTATTCTAGATGATATGGAACTTTTACGAGGCATTCCACTTAATGTAAGCTGAAATAAAATAATTTTATATATATATTTTTTTTTCTTATAATTTTATTAGATGAATAATAGTGAATTTGTACTTGTTCTTCGTACTGATGGTCGTATTGTTGCTATGAGCGATGAAGTTGAACAACATTTAGGAAAATCGATGGTATACATTCTTTAAATTACGAATAATATTTAAATAACTTTTGATTTTATTTTAGCGTTCATTATATACGCAGTGTCGAAATCTTTTCGAATGTCTCGATAATACTGATTGTAGTAAATTACGATCGATTTTAAGTTCTTCAGTTACTTCAACAGGTCAAGAACATCGACTTGTGTGTACTTTACGTTTACCAAAAGGTAAAAGACCTAGTCGAGCTAGTGAAGATATCAAGGTAAATCAATAGTTTTTATTTATTATTTGATTTAAAAACTTAAATATGTAATAATTAGACAATAACAATGGCTGGCCATTTTTATTCGTGTCATGAAACAACATCAACATCACATGAAAGATTATTTATTGCTCGTTGTGAAGCTTTAATTTCTACAACAACAAATAAGCCAAGTTCATCACAAACAAATATGATGATCGATAATAAAAATAATATTAACGGAGGTTCAACACTTAGAATGACATTAAATGAAGATATGTCAATAAATACGGTTACATCAAAGTAAAAATTTTCTATTTTAAGAAAAAAGAATTTTAAAGAGAAATTGTTTTTAGTGTAAAAGATATTCTTGGTTATTCAAGAACTGAAATCATTGGTAATTGGGTAGGAAGATATTTAGCAACAGATGATTTAGAAAAATGTGAAATAATTCGTCAAAAATATGGTAAAAAGTTTTTATTAAAACTATTTTCCTATTATTTTATTTTTTTTCCGTTCTAGTTCAACGTGACCAACAACGACAACAATTACCATCAAGTACTTGTGATATATTTGATATGTATGCTACTAATGGTCAAGGTCGTTTGACATTCTTTTGTCAAATACGACCCATACGTGAGCGACGATCAAAATCAATCAAATTCTCATTTGTTGCTCAACTTATTGAGTAAATTATATTTAAATAAAAACGTTTTTTTTTTAAAAACATTTATTTAAATTTTAATTAGTCCATCATTACGAAGTGAATATGTCAAATATATTCAAACTGAATCTATAACAGATTCGGATTCAATAAAAGCTGAACAAGTAAATCCGGGTGCACAGTGTTGGTGTCTTCTTTATAACTTGCTTGAATTGTTTATGTCATTTCTTTTCTTTCTCTATATTTTAGTACCAGCCTCAATATCAAAAACGAGTGAAGATGCAATCATGGCCAATAGCCCGTCAGTCACCGACATGGGCTTCCTCATCTTCGACAACTTCCTTGACAGCGACTTTACTCATCAACAACAATGTTCACCAATCAATCGAACACTCTCAAACGATGTTGCACCGGTCAGCATCCTTGATGAGTCTTGGCAACAATTGTTCGGCATCGACTATAGCCAACATACATCATCGTCATTATCAGCAACAGCCGATTTTCAATGTTGGCCAACAAAATCTTGCGATGAGATCTTCAACAGCGACCAAATCGATGTTGAATTAAACGATATTTTTAATGATTATTTATATGGATATTAGGTGTATGGTAATTGTTATTCATCTGGAAAGAAAGACGAGCATATATATAAAACTCCGTAGGCTTGATCATCACTATAAACTCATTCTTCTTCTTCTTCTTTTGTACTTGATTTTATTGCAGCAGGCTGCCAAGTATTGTCTCTCCTTTTTTTTGCGAAAGCCAGGCGCTTCAAAGTTCTATATGTTTTCCTTTTTCTGCGTTGTTTTTAGTCTTCAAAAGCTTTTTGTTTTTCTGCTTCGTGTCATTAGTGTTGTTTGTGACTCAGATGTAAAAACTGTGTGCGATCGACCGGTGAACTCGTATTCTTATTTTGTGTTGCGTGGTCTCATCATTTTCTGAATGTCAATAAAAATATTTAAAAAAAATTAATCTTATGTTTATCAATGGATATTATTTCAAGATTGTAAAACAAAAGAAAGCAACCCCTAGTTAGCGACATACAGACTTTCACCTTGAAAAATACTATTACTTAAGACAAAATATGAATATATATATTGACTATCTATTTTATCACGCAATACGTCAAGTATTGAAACAATAGGAACAGGAAATACATTAATGATAATGATTTAGAATTAAAAACTTCTTTATGAAATGACAGGAAAATTATATGTAATGGTTGAAAAATAATTATCGATGATTTCTCTTACTTTTTGAATCAATCATTAGTTAATAGCGAGAAAAAAACAAATCAACGTATTATTTTTCGCGTATATTATTAATTGCAAATTATTTCGTTTGATTGATTTGTATAGTTTTTTTCAAAAGTACCCCTATTTCAAATAATATACGAATCAAGTACATATTTTCTTAATTTTTTATAAATAATCATTAATATATATAGCAACCGGACCTACTATCCTGATGTTAAATAATCAACACTCAATTGAACATATGTCGTTATAAAAAATTTTTAGAATTTATAAACTAGTTGACGCCTGCCATACATAATTATAAAAATATATTGTTAACTATATTAAATTTCTATAAGACTATTTTTATACAGATACAATAACCTTCATGATATTTCGAATGTATAGAATCGTATTACAACTCCGATAAGATATATGCACGCATATAGAAAGTATTCAATTTCCTTTTATCATACTTGCACATGACAAGTACAAATGAAAGATCAGATTCGGTCCATAATTTTGTATGACGAAATATTCATTTAAAAAAAAAATTCATTATTGCATATCTATCGAGTTATATCATCAGAATTAAATCGTAAGAAAGTACTCAATTCTGGACTTTATCAAACATCGACATAAGAAATAACAAACAGATCAATTATACGATTGATGAATACCGTTCATATTTAATTAATATACGAACTAAATATAGAATTCTTTAATCATCAATAAATATAAATAGAAAAAATTCTTATAAGAGTATTGTATTTCATGTACGCTCAAATTGAACTAACCACAAGATTTTCTACTACCACAATGACTTGAATTCTTTTTATTGATTTTAAAATAAGAAGACGCATATAATATCAAAGAAAAATACATTCATTACATATTTTGACGTTATAAATATAAAATAGATAAAGGAGTTTAAAATAAAATGTAACACATAAACAGAAGAAGAAAAAACTACATTTATATTTTACATAAAAAGCATTAAAAACAGATAAAATAGACTAGACAATAAAGGTAATATGACTAGATGTCTGAACTAAAAAGATCCTAAAAATACAAAATAGATAGAAAATAATTATTTAGATTTCTTTCCTTACATTTACATTGGCAATTAAATATTCAACTAGTTTTGCCTGATAAGGTGCTTCGAGTAAAGTCGAAAGTGTTGTATCATCTTCCATTCTATAAAACAATTAATCAATTACATAAATAATTCAGTTTTATTCTTACCTCTGTTGAGATTTAAAAAGTGTCGGCCCAAAAACAATACCTAAATTGGCTGCTGACATTTGATTTTCTTGTTCGCTCAATGAGATTAAATACAAATGTTTGAGTAAATGTATTAAAGCTTGTTTAGCATAATCGGAAATTCTTTGGTCAATAATTTGTCTTAAACGTTCATTAATACGTGGTGATATTTGATTTGATGATTGACAAATTTCTTTTCCAATATTCATTAATTCATTTTGAACTATTAATGATGAATCCGTTGATTCAGCAATTAATAATAATGGAATAGGTAATTCACGTAGATATTTTTTAACCGCATTAGCAAGTACAATTGCTGAAAAATTATTTATTAAATCCGTTCCATTTAATTCAATACCTTGTACAAATTGTCGACAAAGATGATCAACTTTTGATTTAACACCTGATAAACGATAAATACCTTTTATTTTATGTCCTTCAAGTTGTTCAATACAATGACAACAAAGTTGAATAACAAATGGTATACGTCGAACTGAACTATCTTTTATTGATGATGATGATGGTGAATTATCATCTTGAATTGTAGAAGGTGGAAGTGAATGAATATAGGTTGTATAACATGATGCCAAATCATTTTTTGATCGCGGAATAAAAGCTGATGATGAATTTGTTAGAAAATCAGTTGAACGAAAATATGTATTTAATGAATCAATTATTAAATTTTCTGTATTATTAATAAGTTTATTAAGGATTGTTAATGTTTCATGTTTGGTTAATTGAAGTTCTTTTTGTTTTATATCAAGATCATTTAAAGCAGATTGTAAATTTGTTTCATTTGTGGGTGGTAATGGAAGTGGAGCTGGAGCTGTTGCTGTATGAATAATATTTGGTGGTGATGACGCTGTACGTTGAAGAGAATGATGATGCGGTAATGTAATTGAAAGATTTACTGAATGTGTAAGGGGATCTGACGATGTTGATGATGATGATGAAGATGTTGGAAGATTTATGACTGATTTGGAATTTGTACGAGCATCTTCAACTATTTGCATTGCTTGTTGCTAGAAATCAAACGAATATTCTTCAAAACAATGAATTGTTTTTTACTTACACATTTTTTAAAAGATTTATCCCATTGAGTCTTAACTGTTTTTCGTACACTGTCATGATATGTTCGCCATGATTCAATTTTCTAAAGAAACGAAAGAAAAATTCTAGTATATTTTTTAAATATATATTTACTCCAACAAATTCATGTGTTTGTAAAAGCATCCATGTTGATTGTATTTTTGAATAATATTCAGTATCTTTTTTTATTTGTTTCATCATTAAATCAATTCCTGGTAAATAACGATATGTTGTTAAAAATGTTGATAATGAACAATTATTAATTAATTTCGATGTTCGTTCCGCATGTCCAAGTTCTTCAACAGATCGTTCTTGAATATATTGTGTTAATGAAAACATATATTTTGATAAATATTTCGCATGTTCATGTGCAATATCAACACCATCAGTACGTTTCATAAGTATATCAAGTAATGTATCCGCTTCTCGACTTGATGTATTAATATTATTTTTATCATTCGAATCAACAGCATCAGAATTCAATGATGACGAAGGTCGAATAAAACGATTTGTTATTCTTTAAAAAAAA